GGGCTTCAGTAAATCTCTCCCAGAAAGCATGTTAGCACTATGCTGGACAGAGAGCGTCCGTTCACGTTAGTTTGACTTGATAGACAATAACTATGTTCAAGTATTCACAAACTGGGGAGGAGAATGAGTCTCTTCAGCAAAATGCTCTTGTGCAGCATCTATTTCCTGATTGATGCTGAGAGACCACCCCTTTCCCTCTGCTCCGCCCTGTAAATTAACATATCTTCAGGAGAGCGTGAATGTTACCAGTCCAGAGATGCTCTGGGTGTTTTCAAAAAGACTTAAATTGCTCCTTCGTTTTTTTTTTTTTTTCCATGAGCACAGGTGTAGCCCCGTGGGGCCCCGTTACTGCTCGTGGGAAGGTGTGACACACTGCCTACCTGTCTCTTCCTGTGCGACACACACAAGGAACACCAGGCTGTTGTTGGGTTGTTTCTGACATTTGGCTGACAGTTTGTTGCTGCCTCTCGACCGCACCCAACCCTGCTTTGATTTGTACCCAAAACCCGCTCTCTAATACGAACACACAGTTTACCTTCCTCTTAGTTTTTGTTTTTCACCAAGGTTCTTTCAGAAGGCCATTATTTAAGCGGCTTTTCTAAATTAATATTTTAAAATGTAATTATTTTTGGCCAGAAACATATTTATTTATACAGTAATTTCGATAGTAATCCAGGGATTTCCTGTGAGGGCACAGTTTTCGCATTGGGTTCAAGTTGTTCAATGGACCTTTTTTGCCCACAAAATTTCGCTAATGTCACCATGTCATTAGCATCATTGATGTATTTACATCGGGTATGTTTCAGGCCTAATTGTGTGTGTGTGTGTGTATATATATAGGACATCATATTTTTTTATGGTTGGGTCTCCTCTTCCCCTTCTCTGAACCTTGGAGCAAAAAATCCTGAAGAATAGTGTTTCTAGAGCAAACTAGAAACTTTTTTTTTTTTTTTAATGAAGACATAAGACATTGCTGTCCGCTGCTTATGCTCCAAGATTCAGACCCCAATGCAGTTGAGCAGCAAGCTACCACACATCAAATGTTCAGAAACGACCTTTTGCTTGTTGATACAAATTGTATCTATTTCTTGATTGTAAAAAAATATATATTTCTGAGCTGTACAGTATCACTTATATGAGTATATATATCTATATATATATTTAAAAAAAAAGAAAAAAAAGCTTAGTTTTGTTTAAAAAAAAGGATAAAGAAATATAATGCCATAATGTCAGTGATACCGTGTGTCACTCGAGTAGCCCATAGAGAAGGCTTATTTCCTGCCGGGCAGACCACTACAGACAGGGATCTCTCTCTCTATCTCTCTGCTTTTCATTTCTTTCTCGGTCCTCTTTTACCTCCCTCACTTTTCCATGCCAATTAATTATTTTTGAAAATGATAGTTTACTTCAGTGGAGCTGAACTTCATTTCGGTTTGACTGAAGGATTTTTAGGGCGTGGCTTTATATATCATCATTTACACTCTCTCTTTCTCTCTCTCTTTGTTAAAGTTATAGATTTAGGAGAGAGACATTCTGACACAATCAGTGTGCTCCTAATATATTTTTCCTCTTTGTAAATATTGAAAATTATTGTCAAACCTCTTGTATTTGCACAGTATTAGTGCATTTCATTTACATAGACACTCTACCAGCTTATTCGAGCAGGATCTGTCTCTCAAACACACTTAGACTCATAGGTTGCCTTGACAACCATAGTCAGCTGATCACATGCTATCATTAGTACGGATATAACTAATGTAAAATGTTGACTATTGTGTGCGCACTAGTGTGAATTTATGGTAAATTCACCAGTTTCACTTGTAACATAGCTTACCTTCTACAATGAAGACATGGAGGTGCCATTCCAGGTTAAAGATGAAACTTTAATTGGGTGGAATTTGCACAATAATGTTTTTATTTTCATTTTTTAATTTAGCAAATAGGTGAGTTTGAGTTTGTGAGTTTGAACTGAAGTTGATGCCACATGCACACACACGAGCGAAATGAGCTTTATCCGAGTCTCCTACTGAAAGATGTCCACACTAACACATGAACACGCGCACCTCGTAATCTGCCTTACAGTTGAACTATTTTGGTTTGTGAGAGTCGAGCACACACTGACTGTACAGCACCGAGCATTACGCTTCTTGCTTGTCTTTTTATTCTCATAAGCGGAAGCGCTAATGAGAAGATGAGTTTTTTTTTCTTGCCTTCAGCTCTTAATCTCTATTGGCGTCTGAATGGACAACCTGATATTACTGCACGAACTTCAAGTTTTTATGATTAGGTTTGATGAGAATGTCCAAGAAGAACCGACAGGACAAATGGATATATCCCAAGGAGAAAAAAAACACGTCAAAAATGGGCATTTCCAACTGTCAGAACAGATTGTTTGGAGATCTGATGAATTCTGTACATTTACATGTATGTTTTCAATATTGAATTACACCAGCTATAACTTGCTCACACACACTCTCACCAACAGATTGATTCTCAGGAACTAACTGATTTATTATTATTATTTCTGCTCCTTTATGAAAGACATTATACTTGATGTTTGGTCTTATAAAATTGCGGCGATTTGTGAAGTAGTGTGGATGATCTTGAAAACGTGTTCTTAAATTTGAGTTTCGCTGTTTATTCCCCCCTTGTATTGTAGGTTTTACGCGCCTTTGCAGGTTGACCGAGTGGTTTGACACTTTTGAGTCTCGTGCTGTGATGACATACAATAGTATGTTTTACTCTCTACTGACTGAAACATGTTGCTTTAAACTTGTTTTCAATAAAAACAAACAAGAACCAAAAAAAGAGAATGAAAAACAAGATGAAAGCGAAGTAGTGTGGGAAAACTTTATAACGCTTTGGGTCTGTGTACTCAAACAAAATGTAAGTCTCAATGACAAAAGGTGTTTGTTCCTCTCAATAAAGTCAGACTCTATTTGGTTAATTGTTATCATGTCTGTGTTCCTATTGGTTGTGTGTTTGACTTTAGAATGAAGAAAGACTGACAAAGTTAGAAAGCAATATTGCAAAACACCACAGTTAGACACTATTATTGAGTTATTAGAAAAACAGACATAAGAAAAAAAAATCAATCCACACCTAGATCCACATTCCAATTTTAGAAGTGAATTGCAGATACAAAATATCAAACCAAGTGTCAAACAAATGATGCTAGCTTTTCTCAGAAAAACCTTTTCTGAGCCACTTTTTAGGTTATTTTTTTTAATCCGTTTGACCTTTCATCGATTTTTGAAGTCAGTTCCTCTCAAGTTTACATTGGAGTCTTGGCAAAAAAAAACCACCTTTTAGTTCATTATATTGACAATAAATACAGAAAAATGTCCCAGTTCTCCAACAAACAACTTTCAATTACATTTTTGAACATATCCTCACAGAGGCTACCTTTATTTAATGGAAAATACATCAAAAGTAATGTGATATAACTCAAAAGCATTACTCCGTTGTGCTGCTTAATACTTTTTGGATATGGCCTGTAAACTTTCTGTCACTTTTGATCAATTAACTGCATCCTTGCTTAATAAAAAGTATTTAATTTCTTCATATTTTCTTAAGTTATAATAAGCGCAATCTTTTGAACAGTAGTGTGCATTTTTAAGTGGCTCACTTGTCCAAATACGTTTTGGGGGGAAAATAAGATAACCCAATTGTGCTGCATACAGCATACTGACTACCACAGTTTAATGCAAGTCTGTGCAAATGAACTGATGTTTAGGATGTGTAGTCAGTCAAAATGGAAGCCAATACCATGGAGGTTTAAGTAGCATGTTCAATTCAGTATTTACACCTATTTTAGTGCAAGAAACCTGGGCTAGTTAGTGAATCTTGAAAAACAGAATAAACATGTAACAGTTAAGTACAGAAAAACATGTTTATTTGGCAACTTTGTGTTCAAAAATAATGTAATTTACAAGATTTTTCAAACAGCACCAACTTCTTCATTAGAACCTCGTGAGACATTGCTCATGGGAGTTTCACTTCCGGATGGTTTGAACGGGTGCCAAGAGCTGTAGGACTGAGCGGAGTCGATTAAACTGCAGTTTGGACTAACTGTAATGATATTAGAGTAAGGCAAAACACTTCCTCAATAAACATGAATTATAAAACAAAAACAACTTGGTGTTTCCAACTATGCAGCACACAACAGCATCGTGTCAGATATTGGATGTGTGTGTTTAGAAGAGCCTCAGTCCAGCTTAGCCCTCAAGTGTTTGTTTTTAATATGATAGGGTTCAAAGTTAAGGGTTGGTGGTTCACTATCTTCAGGCCATTGAAGATCTGAGTGTGTGTTAGAATAGTTTGAGTCCAGATTTGAGTTTGCTCAAATCATTGTGAGTCCAAAGTGGCCCATCTGATCCACTGGCACCTCTGCTCTGAAGGGAAACGCTGTGGATAAAAATGCACTTTTATGAAAATCATATTACAACATAATAGGGTTCAATTTCAAATAAATGCTGACTTAACTTGTTCCAACCTTCTAGTTAAAGTTTTTACCTTTTAATTGTCAGGGTTACAGCAGGTATTATGAAGGTAAATGTAAGATTTTTTTAAGACCAAGTAATGAACATTTAAGGAATAAATTGAATGGAAAACAAAGTCAATATGTTCTCTTAAACGTAATACCAATCTCATTCCTAAATAACAATGATCACCCTGTTTGTCAAAAAACTTTTGACGAAATCCCAACATAACATTCAGATCTGCATTTCAGAAATGCTGATTCTTCCAATAATTATACAAGTATTTATGACTGAGTCACTGAATCGTTCATTCAAACTTATTTAAAAATAAATAAATAATTAATTTAGATTAAGCATTTTAAAAAGACTGCAGCAATTAACAAAAATTGTGATCTCTGTTTGGAAAAATAATAATTGGGATTCTCAATTTACCCAGAATCGTGCAGCTCTTTGTTTTACTACATTGTAAAAAAAAAAAAAAAAAAAAATCTAGATGAATTTATTAGAGATAAACAATGACAATATGAAGTCTCGTACCCTACAGTTGATTAAAATGAAGTGAGTTCATGATTACAATGAGAACAAATATCTGCCAATGGGCTTGAAAAAAATCAACTAAAATCAAAGAGAAGTTTTCAAAAATTGACAATATTTCATGTTCTACACATAAATACTTCATTTTGTTCAGTTTTCTGTAAATCTCAAGTAAATGTATCTTGATTCAACAATGTTAGATATTATCATGTATGTAAAACAAGACCAAAATACTGAGGAAGATTTTCATTTTTGCATACAGCCATACCAAACCAGACCAAACTTAATGCCTTGACTTTATGAATTTAAGACTTAAAGTTTTTGTTCTGATTTAAGACATTTTTAGGCCTTCGTTTGTGTAAGGGTGAATTAAGACTTTAAGACTGGTAGAAACCCTGTTGCATTTAAGCCTAAATGCTTTCAAAGTCCTGTCTGTGCAAGGCATACACTTCCTCACCTCCTGTTGCCATGGTGCTGAGGGAGTCGATCTAACTCCACCTGCTGGTCGAACACAGTAAATGTAGAATAAGACTCCGCCATCAAACAGGAGGGGTCTTCTGGTTGTCCTGGAACCTTTCCTAGCGGGTACTGTTTCCAGGGGACTTTATCTGATAGGACACAAAACCGTCATATTTAACTCAAACCACATCATTCAAGAACATCTCAGGATTTATGTCTAATTTACCAACTACAAATAGTTGAGGAGAAAAACAAGGTACCCTCAGTGATTAACCAGATGTTTTGAACTGTCCGCTGACAAAACTTGTGCTAGTTCATCGTATTTCTAGTATTTGGAGTTGTGATGTGCAATGACTGTAGAAGTGTGAAGAAAGGTCTGCATTTATAAATTAATGTATTATTCAAGTAACAGGTGTCAAAGCATTTTATTTATTCATAATAAACTGTAGACAGCACAAACATCACATTTCATAAACAGAAGGTAATCCACAAACTAACTGAATTGTTATTTTAATACTACTTATTTATCTAACATTATAGTTTAATTAATATTGACATTTCTTTTTTTTCATTTTATTTTACATTTTATCATTTTAATCTTAAAGCTAGGGGAAGTGTTTTCAATTACACATTTTTGTGACACTGGTTGAAACAGGAGGTCTCCCGTCCAGGCTCAGCCCTGCTTAGCTTCAGTGGGAAACAAGTCTTGGCAATTTACACCACATTTTTTTCTTCCCCATGATCCTTTGGCAAGTGTTACATTATTTGACCATGCTCTTATTCAAGCAAATGCCTTTTAACCATTCAAGCGTGATTAGACATTAAAGAGAACGCAGTTCAGTACTGGCGCACGTTTGTGAATCTCATGTCTGTGACTCACAACTCACGCACGCAGAAAACCATTTCAGACAGCACTTGAATGGACAAAAAAAATCTAAAAATTATGCCATAATGCCTGTTTTGTTGAGTGACCTCGCAAGCACAGTCTTAAATGAGTGAAATGAAGTCTTAAATGAACATAAGGGTTGTGAGAAAATGCATTGACAGAAAATGAAAATGAAAAAATGATTATGAAAATGATTAAAGTGACAGCAGCCTCATAAACCTGCTGTTGTCTATCATTCAGGATATTCAAAGAAAAAAAAAACCACTGCTCTTTACTAAACGTTTGTAGCTTTAATAAGGATTAATTAAAGTGTGAAGTGATGCATTATTGATTTCTGCATATCCTAACCTGCTTTAAGATTTTCATAACTGAAAATCTTAAAGCACTGTTTACAAGTCAACATGGATCAAAAACAATCACTTTGGGTGCATATTGAAAGGGCAAGTAAAAATCTGAACTGGTCTGACTGGGCCAATAGAAAACATTTAGCCACTATTTATTGAAGGGCACAGCTAAATGCGGTATTTATTTTTACATTAAAGCTTTACATTATACTGTAATGCTGAATGGCTATAATTAATGAGTAAAATTAAGAAAAAATATCAATTTCATATTGGCATCGGTGAAGCCTTCTTTCATTAAAAAAGCCATTAAACTAATTTTAAATATAGGCTGTCTTTGTTGTTTATACATTAATTTGGATATTAAATGTGAAATTATTACAAAACTTACACAACAAAACAACTTCAGGGTGAGGAAATGATGACAGAATTTTCATCTTGAAGTGAACTATTCCGTTAATAAATATTGTTATTTAAAAAAAGTGTTACCTGTGCACACGCTCCATGCTGATCCTCGTAATGCAGAGTTTCTGTCCTGTACGGTTTCTGTGCTTAGCTTTTCCTGGAGCTCCTCTGTGGGCGGAGCCTGTAATGATCCAGGGGTGTGGTTAGGTGTGTCTCTGTTCGGTGAGGTGTTCCTCTTGAGTCTCTCCTGGAGGTTTTGTAGGGTGTACACAGGCTGAGAAGGGTCTGAGGGTCCAGGGGAAGAGTTTCCATGGTAACCCTGTGTATAAATGCTGCAGAGCTGAAGCAGGTTCTGCTGAGCGTCATGTGGGAGAGGCTTATCCATGTCACTGAAAATCCTGAAAAGGCAAGAAATAAGATTTGATTAGTTACCTTCACCCACGCTGTGTGCGCGAATATGTGTGCGCATGTGCACACTCACTGTCGCAGAAGGAACGGTGTAGCTGTGCACGGTGCGTTCACACATGCAGAAATCAGATTCCGCCATGGAAACTGTAATCTGTTCAGAAAGATCCTTTCCTTTAATATTTTTAGTCGCTTGTGAGCCTTCAATTCACCTGCTGCAGACATACACAGACAAGTTTACACTCTCGACAATGGGTCTCATTCGCTAAGGGTGCACATGCACAAATCAGCATACAATTTCTCAAACAAATGATTCACCAATACACCCCTTTTGTTTTAAAATGTATGATAAAATGCAACTGAAACCTCACATATGAATATATACATATATAAAGTATCATAGGCTTTATAAACAGATACTTTATACAGAGATATGTTTTAAATATATTTGATATTGGTTATTGCGTTCAATATACTTCATCATATACCATGAAACATTCTATGCATATAAATACAAAAGGATCAATGAAATCGTTAACAAATGAGACCCAATTAGTTAGATTTTGAAATGATAAAACAAACTGTTCATAATAAGGCAAAAGGATTTTGGACACTTATTTCAAGTGATCGGGTTTTCACAACAAGTAACGTTTTTTTTGTTTTGTTAAACTGTTATGTTTCAATTAATATATCAAATGTTTGAGAATTTGCCTTAATTTAGCCCTTTTTTTATTTTAGCACTTAGCACAACTAAAAAAAAATGTATTTGTTGTTAACAAAAATTAGATGCTATTTTAAACAGAATAAAATGGACTAAAATGAATGAATATTACATGAAAAAAAGAGTTTTAAAATGAACACTGCATTCTTAGTTTTAATGTGTCCTTCCTACTCTTAGTGTGGTTTAAGTGTCCAAAAACACTGTTTAAACAACCAAAGGCACCAGGAGGACATCTCAGATTCATACCTTTGCTGTTGCAGAGCAAAATTTCAGAGATCCAGGAGGCAATGTAGTAAGTTCTGTGACTGGACGGCTCGTTCGAGAGCTCAGCGAAAAGTTTGTCAAGGATTTGATTTATAAAGATGGATGAATTCACAACCTTCAATAACGGCAACCAGAAGTGCAAAAACACTCGAGGGAGACAAGGGGCGAACACGTCGTCAGAGTTCCCTACAGAGAGAGATAGAGAGGCTAATTTAATTTGTGTCAGCAAATTACTGCTTTATAAACAAGATGTAATGCATTTATACCAGAGGGGTCAATATCCAAAGACTCCAGTTGTTCTGCCGTGGGAATAAGGAATCCATCCTCCATTAAAACATCAGTGAAGATGTTTCTGCAACAGACAGAACAGCTGGCAATGAGACACATACTCGTTAACATATTAGAAATAAAGACTTGCTAAACTGAACACATGCACAGACCTGGCCTCTGTGGCAAAGTGCTTGATCTGCGTCAGGATCCAGCTGAGATCAGCGCTGGCATCCGGCCACATGTCAAGCTGCCTTCCCTGCTTTGTCAGGTCTCCATATGTCTGCCAAACACATCAAAACAATAGGCAGGCACAGCTCACATTATTAACATCTCAACTTGAAACTACTACATTAGTAAAAGAAACAGTCTTACCAAACATCACCAATTACAACCTTTTAAAGGCTCAATTTAGCTCATGTCGATCCCACAGACCCGACAACGTAATTATACATTTTGCCTGCTGTTTTAAAGGGATAGTTCACCCAAAAATGAAAATTCTGTCAGTATTTACTCACCCTCATGTTGTTCCAACCCCATAAGACCTTCGTTCATCTTCGGAACACAAATTAAGATATTTAAGATATTAAGATCACTCCTGTATACCAGTCCATAGGCTTCTTGAGGGAATGACACTTGCTGGCCTCGAAAAGTCATTAAAAGACATCGTTAAAATAGTCCAAGTGACTACAGGGGCTCAATCTTAAGTTTATTAAATGACGAGAACATTTTTGTGCGCAAAAACAACAAAAATAACGACTTTATTTCAACTATTCGTTTATTTCTCCCTCTGCCTCGAGTCAGTAAGCTTAATAGCGTAAGCTTCTGTTATTGTACGTCACGCGCATCACACACATGACCAGCGTCGGCCAATAGTGAGCCTACGTGTGACGTAGCTCTACGCAATCACACTACATTAACTGACTAGGGGCCCATAGAGAAGTAAGTGAATAGTTGAAATAAAGTCGTTATTTTTGTTTGTTTTTGCGCACAAAAAGTGTTCTCGTCGATAAAGTTAAAATTGAGCCACTGTAGTCACTTGGACTATTTTAACGATGTCTTTGATGACTTTTCCATGCCAGCAAGTGTCATTCCCTCAAGAAGCCTATGGACTGTATGCAGGAGCGATCTTAATATCTTAAATATCTTAATTTGTGTTCCGAAGATGAACGAAGGTCTTACGGGGTTGGAACAACATGAGGGTGAGTAAATACTGACAGAATTTTCATTTTTGGGTGAATGTAGGCAGTAGGAATGTAGGCATTTTCGGAAGAGTTCCAACACTCGACTCTGTCAGAAAGCTCATACTGCCCTCTGCTGGTGCAAACTGCGATATTATACACAATGTAACATTTATCCCAGACTTACCTGAAACTGTTCCTGTTCATAAGAGTTGAGCAGTTCTCTGATTTTTTCTGAAAGGTAGAGAATAAGCAGATAACTAATATTTAACCGTTTGCTACTTTTGATTACAATAAAATATACAATATTATATTGTACAACTTGGGTTTGAAATTACCAAGTGCGAATAAAAATCAGCTGTGGCGGGTAACACAGTCAAATCAATAGCCAATTTGGCATGTAGGGTTAACTCACATTACTGGGAAAGTTTGTGTTGCCAAATCTGCACATATTTAGTGCAAATACTCAACTTGTGAGTCGTCATGATATATTAAATACAGCGTATTGCACAGAATCTGCGCTTATCTGGCTTACTTGAGCACGTCACTACTACACAACAAAAAGTGGCACGCTTGTTCATTTAAAATAACTGTTTTCTGTTTATGATAAAATATAATTTATTGAATTTACTGAATTTTCGGCAGACATTCTCCAGTCTTCATGATCCATCAGATATTATAATCTGCTGATTTGATGCAGTTTCATTAATTATTAACTTTTTTTTTAACCATGAGGCATTTTTTTCAGGATTCTTTGATGAATAGCATGTTCAAAAGCACAGCATTTATTAGAATCAGAAATCTTTTGTAACATTATAAATGCCTTTACGGTCAATTTTGATCAATTTAACGCATCCTTGCTGAACAAAAGCATTTTACAACTTTGCTGATTCTGAACAGAGCTATAACGCTTTGCCTTTGAAAGGAATAGTTCACTTCAAAATGAAAGCTCTGTCATCATTTACTGTTTCAAACCTGTATGAATTTCTTTCCTCTGCTGAACAAGACAGAACAGTTGATATAACTTCATCGACTTCCAAAGTAGGAAAAAAAAAATACTTTGGAAGAAAGTCAATGGGGTACATCAACGATTTGGTTACTGACATTCTTCAAAATATTGTCTTTTGTGTTCAGCAGAAGAGAGAAATTCATACAGGTTTGAAACAACTTAAGGGTGAGTAAATGACAGATTTTTTATTTTAAAGTGAACTCTTCCTTTAAGTGATTAGAAATACCCATTATAGGCTAGAATTTTTTATACATTTTATGTTACATTTTATTAAAAGTGTCATGGTTTTTTTTTCAGTCTTGTTGCAGTATCTGAGCTGTAAGAATAACATGAAAAATCTGATCAGTCTTTCATTTTCCCTCCCTGTAGTTCCGCATCTTTGCCCAACCAAAGGATTTTTGAGTGTAAAAGTCTACTCACTGTGTGCCTCAATCTCTTTCTGTCTGCTGAGTTGATCTCTCTCCTGTCTTTTAACAACCTCCTCCTCATCCTCCTCCTCTGATGAAGAGTTCCAGCCCTCTGCCAGCTGACTGCCCATCTGGCGGGACCAGTACTCCTGATGCAACCAGTCTAGTACAAATCCACAACCTGAAAAACACAAACAAACATAAACACTACAATGACATATGCAGCAAACAGTAGTGAAAGCATGAGCTTATCTAATTTTGAAAGTGCATGCGTGTAAGGGAAATACCATCTCTCACCTTTTCGGCACCACTTTAGTGATGGAAGTCTGCGGTGTGTCAGATCATGCCTGAGGTCTACCACCCACTCAGGAATATTTATCTGCCAGAAAGACAAACTGTAGTCAGACTGCGATTATAGCAGATTATGAGACGTTCATCCGGGCTGATGCGTGACTTACATTTCTGGCTAACCTACGCAAGGGTCTGGCGACACTTTTCTGTTGCCGTTCTGTGATGAGATTAACAAACCTGAAACACATCATACTCTTTTAGTCATTTTCACTTAAGTAAAGACAAATGCACTGATTTCTATGCTTTAAGTGCACTTGGATGATAAACATACCGAACCAGCGCCATGCCATAGAGAAGGACAAGATCACTGGCCTCCAGCTGACCCGTGCTGTCCAGCACCTGACATCGGACCAGGTCCGCGGTGCTCTCCACGGCCACCGGAGTGCTTTGCCCGAACCTGTGGGAACAGACAGAAAGTCAGAGACAACACTCACACTGAAAAACTGTTTCAGTGAAAAAAAATAAATAAAAATGAATAGTTTACCCCAAAATAAAAATTCTGTCATCAAAGGTGGGGTAAGTTGGTCAGACCAACACAACAACAAACGTGTAACCAATAAGGAGCAGTCAATCAGTGACTGATTAGTAACATGAAGATCTTTTTGATGAAATCTGAGAGCTTTCTCTCCACCAATGACAGTTATACAAAATAATTATACACAGTCCACCCACATATATTATGTAAACACAAACTTTTTATTTTGGATGGGATTAATCGTTTGACAGCCACACACACACACACACACACACACACACACACACACATATATATATATTTAATATATGGACCCATGGGTCTGAAATAAAGATTAATAATAATAATAATAAAATAATATTAGACGATCGTATCTCTCAAGAAAATGTTGACTAAACCACATGGATAAGTGGTACGATCACTTTATGAACTTTTTGAAGCGTCAAAGTGATAGTTGCGTTTTTCATCAATAAGATCTTCATTTATGTTCCGAAGATGAGTACGTTTAGCCTAATTATGTAACTTATTTAGAAAAGAAGAAGCTAAGAACAGTCTTTAAGAAAAGTAAAATAGAAGATGTCTAATTTGTAAGACTAGTCTAAGCAGTTTAAATCCATCAGAATTTGGATTAAGCCAATATGATCTATTTTAAAACCCTCAGAATTTATTTTATTTTGACACTATTTAAGGAGAATTTAACCAAATTTTAGCACATCCGCAGAGCAAGAAAATCATAATACTAAAACAATACATCAGATGTCACGTGACCCGTGTGATCTCCAACACTGTACGCAAAACATCAGATCCGTCCCTGACCACCGTGACGTTACCTGCCCTTCCACGCGGAGATCCTATGCAGCGCGTGTTTCTGCAGCGCGGGCTCTTTAGAGTACAAATACTCCATCACATGCTCGTATTCTGCTTTGTTCATCCAGGCCACAACAACGTGACGCGTCTTCGCCGCCGTTTTCTTCCTCATCGTCAGATTTGTATGCTTTCAAATGATGTAGTATGTGGACCCACCGCGGATAAATAAGAATGTGCAGCTAGAGTCGGGAAAAAATTAAATACGATGCATGTAAATCTAATGTATCCTGGACACACACTACGGTCCTACGCCCCGCCAGCGGTGCAGCAGGTTGAATGTTCCCCTTAAACAAAATGCTAAACACAGGTTCCGTGCTCTATCTACAAATCTACACAAACAGAGGGTTCAAAAGAGAGCTGGGAAGCGAAATGTTAATTGCATTAAAAATGATTGCTATAGATGTAGTCTATGGCAATGAAGAACAGTTTACTCAAACTCTTGGTCAGCCAAAGTTATTCAGTATTATTACAATGCTGATGATCACGATCGATCAGCCATTTTCAGATAGGCTAGATATGTTTCAGTCAAAGCAGTCACATTAAACTTTCAGCTCTTCTGATAAAACCCAGTCATATTTTAATATCACACATTGAAACGGCGAGATTCTATGATTAGTTAGAACTATTTTTCATAAAACACTGAATCAAAATTCTGTACGAACAAAAAGTAACATGCTACTATTTTTGGACCCGCTACCATGGTACACGAGTAACCATTTAGCACCATTGTATCAAAGTACCACAGTATTAAATAATATCATTACAATACATTTTGTACGGGACACAAGTAGGTTGTATGAGACTCCAATGAGTAGAGAGATAATGTTTTGCAATTTATCATAATTATGAATCATGGTTCATTTAAATATTGAATATGACACTGAAAATGACATCATCTAGATAAAATTGGGGTGTTTTTGGGCATGTGTTTGAGAAGGTAATTTAAAAAATTGCATTAAAAAAATGTCTAAAACCACGAGGCTTTAAAAGTCAAAGAAATGTATTTTAAAATAACCAAGTCATAATTAAGAAAGCCAACGTTTTTTTCCTAGTATAATTCTATTCATTCTAAAGTTCAAGTCCGCTAAACATTTTTTTTCCCAGTACAATATACATATATAAGAAAGTGATTATTGTTCACGAAGAGTCTCACTTCTCTAGTGTGAAAAGTAGTGATTTCTCTAGTGATTTCTCAAAAATGTAGTTTTTTTTTTTTTTTCAGCTTTGAGAAGGTTGGCACGATTTCTCCATATAAAGTCTAGCTGTTCCTAAAAGTGAAACGCATTTCCCGTCCCAAACTCTGCCATTCAACAGAGGAAGCCAAGACCCAAGACGAGCTTGGAATTTCTGGGGAAAATTACGTCACTGTTGGAATTGTGTGGGATACCCCCACCTCGCATTCCCAGAGCGCGCGCGTTCGAGCTCTGGCGTCTCTCTCTCTCTCTCTCTCTCTCTCTCTCTGCCACACAAAGCAGCAGCGCTGCGTGAGCGTGTATCTCGTATAACGGGGCCTGTGCGAATCCGGGCGGAGTTTAGTCAAACGCGCTTTGCTGTGCCTTCAGCGGCTGGGCTGGGTGTGGTTTTCAAAACTCAGTTCCGTTAGCAGGAAATCGACTCTAGGACCACCACCACAGTACTTCTCTGAGCGACAAAGACGCAGTGAAAAGTGTAACTTTGTCTTCGGGATCTGGAACGGATTTCAAGGGAAGCTTTTCCACACGGGCGGTGACGGTTGTTCACTCTTGCGCGTGGACATCAGCCGATGGGAAAAAGTTTGGCTTTTTGCTGACTTCATTTGATCAGTTCAGTTTGTGACACATCCGCGAGAGAAGAGACAAACAAAAAAACAGACAAAATGCCGAAAACGGTGAGTACTCATGAGAAATGGAAGCCATTGTTTTGAATTCGTACTGTATCAAACAAAGCTGAGAATAAGAGATTTCATAGTGTTTTTTATTTATTTATTTTTTTAAAAGCTGCGCATTTTCGGTGAAACAGGAGACAGTAACGACGCGTAGGCGCTCGAAAGGGGCGAGGATGGTCTTTCTCTTGCTGGCTTTATTGTCAGCCGGTTCCCGCGGCCGAACGGTAACGTTAGGCCATACGCAGTGCAGTGCACTATTTATGGCAGGAATTTATTTTTTGGACAATGACGGTCGTTCATCCGATCCGAGCGCACTGAAGAATACTATATTATGTTGTAACGTTAAATTAAAAAGGCGATTTCTCTAATACTTTAGCTGCTCGTAGTATTTTATAAGAAATCGTTAAGACCGGTGAAGTTAGCATATTTTTATTTTTCTAAACCATTTTATTCTAACAGACTTCTCTCTAGCAGTGGCGTTTTGTGTTGTATAGGGGCTGAACCGTTACTCGGTGACAACCTGTAACCCCCTCTCTCCCTCCCTCCTCTCTCCCCAAATCCGATTGGCTTTCCATCAAAGTTGCTTTGAATAGACCGCGTCCAGCGGTGATGAGGATTTTGATTCATTCCAGTTAATCGAATCTTTTGAATGCATACAGAAATATTTTTCAAATTCGTTCACTGACTATTTAAGATGTGTCATTACGCCAGTAGATGGCAACAAGAACGTATTTTGTGTTAGTACACAGTTTAATCGATTCATTAAAAGTCGTATTATGTTTTATTAAAGTTTGAATGTCTACACATCTACTAAGAGATTCAATTTCCATTAAGTATTTCGTCTACAAATGACAACAAACTTTATTACGACTCGTTCAGGGAAGGTTTAGTCCAACGAAGGGACAGGCTTAAATGATGAACAACAACAACAAAAAGGTTTAATCAACTTCTGTGGTCATTTATGATTTGTGGTCAGCCTTCTTTAACCGTTATCACGTGGTTAATCCAAGTATTTGTAGGCCTATATTGGTCTGTTTTCTAGAACCAGTCAAGCATGAAAGAAAACCGAACTGAATGAACCGAAGTGAATGAGAACAATTCGTTCACTTAAACGATTCCATTTAAACCGATTCACATGTTCACTTCATATTAAATTAAATCATGAAATCAAAATGGACAATTTTGCAGTAGCCTACTTATTATAAATACATTATTTATCCGTGCACATAATTCTATATAATACATATAATTAATATATATATATATTTAATTTACCCTTCCTCTTGCCACTTCATCTCTTCTCTGATGACAAGGACAGGATGTCATTTTAAAGTCGACATAAAAACGGTCATACATACGGCATAAAAAATTGGATTGTTCATTTGTAGTTTGACATTAAACAGAATCAACCGATCTCATGTGATTGACAAGTTGCCTCGCATAAATTAACAACGTAACCTAAGAAGAGAAGAGATGTCGCTGCATGAGAGAGTGCAAATATGAGGGCACATGAATTCAAAAATGATGTAAATGGATAAAACATTTATAATACATACTGAAATATTCTTGGTGAATTCAGAAAATCTGTTCGTGGTGATATTAAAGCCTTTGTTCTGCCATGTAATGGCACATTCTTGACCTGCTTGATAAGTGAAAAGTGATTTGGGACTAGAAATATGAGGCATGTCAGAATTGGCTGGTCCGACATTTTTGGAGCTCATCTGTCAGGGGAGGACCACACGAGCTCATGGCGCAATCTTAGACAATTTTCCATGCCAAGGCGTGGTGCTCACTCAAATAAGAGAAGAAAACTGCCTTTTTTGGCTAGAGTTTTTTTTTTGGGGTTACACCTCACAATTAATGAATCATTGTTTAGATAAAGATTTTATTTAAGACTACAGACCAACAGTAGGATAGAAACACATCAAGTTTTTAGCATTTAGAATTTTCCCCTCTGTGAAATATATTTTAGTGTTGGAGTCTCAGTAGTTAGTTATAGACCAGTTTTACATGAATCGTATATTACAAATATTCAAAATAACCACTGTCAAAAAAAGTACCATGAACATGTGCTATGTTTTTGGGCTTGTGCCACACTATTCTTTGAAAAGTACCACATAACTGCCCAAATGGCAACACTAATCTTTTTAATCAGACTAATGAATTGAAACAGAATTATATTCTTGGCCCTTTTTGTGCATCCTCAGAAAAATCTGAGAGTTTCAATCATTAAATCATTAGATAGTTGTTGAAGGTTATTATGAAGTGTTATGGCCTGTTTTCACAGACAGGGCTTAGATTAAGCCAGGATTAGCCTTAGTTCAATTAGGACATTTAAGTAGCTTTTATAAATGTTCCTTAGAAAAAAAAGAGACATTACTGGTGTGCATCTTGAGGCAATATAGTGGCACTGACATATTTTAAGATATGTCAGTGTAAGTTGCATTCGGTTAACTGCTCAAACATGCATTTTACTCTGGACTAGGCCTAAGCCTTGTCTGTGAAACTGGGGGAATATATTGCTCAACAGATAAGTAGTTTATGAGAACGTATGATATGAATTAAAGATTCATGAGACGTTAATGAGTGTGTGAAGCATTATATATACATTATATACTGTAAGAAATAATGTTTGTTATTTTAATGGAAGTTATTAGTCATTTGATTGCTTATATTGTAGTTAAGCTCAATTCAATTTTAATAGCTCAATCACATCCTTAAAATAGCTTACATGTAGTCTAAGCTTGTAGTTAGTTTCCTTTTTTATCTGTTGCTTTCGGAGTGAAGGGAAACTCCGTTGGGTGTGAATATAGACGTTAACCGGATGTAATATCAGAAGGGTTCAGCTTCAGTCTGAAAGAACAGATTAGGGACATGACACTATAATGAAGAGTGTTGTTGAAGTTATGTGGCATGTTATTGCACACTAAATACAATTTTCCGGAACAGATAGATTTATATGAGAACGGAAATCAGTCTAGTATTGGTAAATGTGTTTCTCTTGTCATTGGGGACATCGGATACATTTTTAGAGGTTTTTGGATCTGTGTATAGAATCATATTGGACCACAAAATGAGTCAGAACTTTTTTTGGGCCGTTGTTTTAGACTCCTGCCAAGTCCAAGTGTCTCGTTCCGATAATGACTCAAGGTTTCTGTGCTTAGACTGTGCTTACATCACTTCCTGTCTGAACGTTTCCTGTTCGGGGCCAGCTAGGCTTGATGCTGCCGCACAGTACCTTATTTGGAGTTTCACAGAACTACGGCGTGCACATACACCCTCACACACACAGCTTTGTGTAGTGAGCTTGGGCCCCTTTTCCGCTACAGATTCTGTTGCCCAGAATGCAGCTGTGTATCACAGCTAATGTACTAAAATGGCCTCTTTTTTTTTTTTTAATAAACACACTCCTCTCTCT